TTAAGGGGCTAAGAAATATATAAATACCACAATAAATATGGCACTGTATCCTGGAAAGTAGGTGAGGTTTGCTTGTGGAAGTGGGCGTTGGAAGGTCATAGATTATGAGTTATTGTGAGTTATCGGTTAGTGACAGGAGGAGGCTATCTGAAGTCAGATGGAAAATCTTGACCTTTGTAGCGGAAAGTGGATGGTTGTGGTTTATAACACATGTAGTGACCTGACAAAGCCGGTAGATGTTTGAGGTGAGTGGGTGTGTACATTTTGTGTATTCCTGTGTGGCTCATTTCAGCTGGATATGGTTTTCTGCATTTTCTTGTGTTTCTGTAATGCATACATAAACACAATTCATGCTATGCTCAAATTATTCACTAATACACCCAATGCATTGGAACAAATTTGAATTTTCAAAATAAGAGTCAAAGCAAAACTTATAGTCAGAAAAACACTATGAATGATTTGTACTAGTTAATATTACGTGCCAGGCACTGCGCTGTAGATTCTATGTGAATTCTTTCTCAACAACCCCTTGAGTTAGGTATAATTGTTAGCCATATTTTATGGTTGAGAAAGCTCCAGCTCAAAGAGGTAAAATTTGCCCCAAGTTACAAGGCTAGGACACGGTAACTCTTAATCACTATGCTGTTCTTTTTCCTGAACTAATTAAAAGTGACAAAGTGTGGCAAATATTTGCAAATATGTAAGAAAGAACAAATATCCATAAGACACAAAATTTTTTTCAAAACAAATAGCTCAATGGAAAGATGGACAAAGGTCAAAAGCAGGACAAAGGAAGAAATGCAAATGGCCAATAAAATCAGGAGCGGAGACATTCAACCTCATTTAGTACTCTTTCGTGTGAGTCAAAGCTATTAGGTGCGTTCCCGCCCTCCGCCCCCCACTATCTGATGGACAGAAATAGATGTGGGGAAATGCTGGCAGGAGCAGAGATTGTTATAACCTTTCCAAAGCACACATACCTGTCCTTTGACCCAGCCATGTAACTGCTAGAAATTTATCCTAAGAAAATAGGGAAAAGATTGTGTACCAAGATCATTGTAAGAGTTGTTAATGCTGAAAAATTGAAAACACCCATCCATCATCACTAAGTGATTAAATTCTAGTGCATCAGTTCAATATAATACTATGAGACTCTCAGAAAGGGTAATGTTATATCCAGTATCCGTAATGGTTGACAGTAAATATTCTTTATGCTTTACTAAGCAGAAAGAGATGTGTGTGTGTCTGTGTGTCTGTGTGTGTCTGTGTGTGTCTGTGTCTGTGCGTGCGCATGCTTGTGTATGTGAGCAAGCCTTGCTTAGGAAAGTCTGGACAGACACACATCAAAACATTGACAGTGGGTGTCTGGGGAGGTAGAATTACTGGACAATATTTTTATTTTTCATTTAACTTTTTTCTAAATTTTTCTATAATGAATATTTTATGATTTAAAAAAGAAAAGTATTTTAAAATACTGTCTAACATATACTTACTTTGCCAGCACGTATATTAAAATACATTGTCTAGCACAAGGTGCATAATAAATACAAAATATAAGAGTAATGACCTAACAGGGCTAGGTAACAAATATCCACTAAAGCAGCAGTCCCCGACCTTTTTGGCACCAGGGACCAGTACTCCTGTGAGAATCTAACGCCTGATGATCTGAGGTGGAGCCGAGGTGGTGATGCTAGCCCTGGGGAGCGGCTGCAAATACAGATGAAGCTTCCCTCGCTTGCCTGCTGCTCACCTCCTGCTATGCAACCCTGTTCCTAATAGGCTACAGACTGGGACCTGGGTACCGATCCACTGCCTGGGGGTTGGGGACCCCTGCACTAAAGGACTATTGACTAACTGCATTATGGAGACCCCACTTGGGACCAGAATTAATCTGCTTAGATTTCAGGTTACCTCACTCACAGATAGGTAGATGCTGCTGGGCTGAGTGGGGCAAAGTGATTTATGTTACTTATAGGTCACAAGCTCCATAAAGTGCATGTGAACTTGGGATCATTTTGGATGGCTGTTTGCAGTGCTTTTAAAGAGCCCAAAATCCAGGTATAGGTTCTTGGGGCCCAGCCACCTTATTAGCAGACTTAACCCTTAACTTAAGAAGCAGCTAAAAATGTGGCTTGGTGGGGTAGGGTAACTGCCAGGAGCGCCCCTGCCAGTTGAGCCTGGGTTTGTGGGCCTGGGGGTGATGCGCGCCCATCTTCGAGGAGGCTCGTATCCGGCTTTCAGCGGCTCATCATGCAGGAACCAGAACTTTATTTTCAAAGCTCCATAAAACCTATGTCTCCTCCCAGGCCTGCCTTTTCTAGGTTTCATGGCTCTCTGTGGAAATTAGAGCCTGTGTCATCAGAGCAGGAAACAGCAAAGAGACATTAGGATGCTCCCACGGGGGCAGCTGGGAGTTACAGAGCAAAACTGAGCCTGAGGCCGGCCTCCTGGGCCTTATTTCTCCAGGCCTCATTCCAGTTGGCAGGACCTCGCTTTCTTTGTCACTGCAGACCAGATGGGGTCCCCAGCAGGCCATGTGTGCCCTGCTGGAGCAGTAGCTCAAAGAGCTTCTTCCCATTACTTCCTCCTTCAAATGCCGGGTCTTAACAGGCCCTGTGCGCCACTCAGCCCGGTGCCCATCTGCCTGGCTGGAGATAGCACCACTGGAGCTTGTCAAGTGTGGGTTGAAAGGATTTATTTTTTTTAATTTAAGTACTCCCATTCCATCTGCCTGCACATTCTTACCCTGCTTTGTGAGCTGAGCTTTGTGACCTCTCAGGTTACTTCGCCACCCCAACCACGTCTTCCCCACAAAGGGTTTAGAGGGCACTCAATGAGATGACATGAGTGGAGCCAAGTGCCTGTGCAGTGGGTGCTCGAAGCACCACTAATAGGGACCTTTATAAAGTTCCGTCTCTCACCAAGCGCTTTGCATAAATTATCTTGTTAACCCTCAACAACAAAGAAGCCAGGCGAATATCCTGAAGGCAGCCTTCTGTGGTGAGAAGACAGAGATGTAGAGAGAAGGAACCTGCCTACTTCACACAGCCGGTTAGGTGGGCCCCTTGAGACCTACCTAGTGCCAAAGCCTGTGCCCACCTACCAGGCCTCTGACCTCTGGCCTTCTGCCCTCCTTAGCGTTCCATGGATTAAAACAGTCAGCCAGGCAGTGATGCTCTTGTGGCTTACAAAGCAGGCCTCTGTATCAGTTCCCCAGAGTCGACATCTTATGGGAATTCTGGAAAGCTCAACAAATTATTGGGTTTCTTTTAAACATTTTCTTAAAGCTTCTTATAATCTTGTGTTATACTTGGAATGTGTCAGCATTGAATTGTGTTTTGTTTAAATCTGGTGCTGAGTTTGAGGACAGTGTTTAGCTTAATCATGTTTTAAGGAATTAGAATTGGTATGAGTGACAGTATCTGCAGCAGTCTGTCCTTTGCTCCCTCTCACACACAACAGGCTGAGTGAGGACAGCAGAGTGTCAAGGTGTTGGTAAATAATACCACTACACAGTCTTTAAGCTTGTGAGATACTGTTTTGCCAACAGGTTGAATTGACTACACACTTAAAGTGCTGAACTGCCAAGCTCGTTATCCTATATAGAGGTCACACTAGAAACCCCCAGTAGCATTCTGCCTAAGTAAGGCGTAAGGCTTCGTAGCCCAGGCCCCGCCCACACACACACACTCAGGTAGAGACCTGGGAGGGACCTACTGGTGGAGGTTTGGGGAAATTAATGGAGATGGTGTTTTTGGGAGCAGGTTGTTTATTTTGTTTTGTTGGGTGACTTAATTAGAGCATCCTATGGCCTTGAGGGTTTGAAGAGAGGAGTACCACAGTTTGGGAACAAGCAGTAGCTTTTTGGGAATATATTGGAGAGGAAGGGCGGGAGTGGGGGTGAGGGAGGGGCGGACAGCATAGAGAATTGTAGATCTGAAAATACCTGGGACAAAGTTGAGGCTCCAGACTGCTAATGGGGACCTGCCTGTGAGATGGAAGGTGTCGTGATAGATGAGTTGTTAGTTGGGTTTCAGTAAACCTTTGCAAGGACTAACCAAGGGAAGAGGCCCTTTGGTCCGGGAATTCAGGGGTCCCAGGTACTTGGAGCATGTTCCAGATGGGGGCCACGGTCTCCAGGTGGACACATCCCATTGGCCCACAGACTCCTTGCCCTGAGCGGGGGGCACAGCCAGAGGAGGGCCAGATTGGGCCCTCTAAAGCATGGGGTCCAGGGCCCCGGTTGCTCTTTCCTAACCTCTGGCAGTGAATGCACTGTGGTGCACATGAACACGAAGCTGGGAGACAGAGACCTGGCTGTGCCCTGACGAGCTGTGTGACCTTGGCCAAACGATTTCTCTGTTCTAGACTTCATGGATGATTTCCCATCATGATTTGGGGGCCATCAACTTCATCATCCCTGATTGTTCCCGAGGGTACCAGCAGTTCCCAGGGCTATGCCCATCATGGAGAGAAGGCCGGGAGCCTGCCTGTGATGAGGGAGAGTTAGGGTCTGGCACAGCTTTGCAGCCAGGCACGCGTGACTCCTGCTCTGCAAGGGGGAGCGGGTCTGAGACTGGAGGTGGCCTCACAGTGCAAGGCTCCTGAGCTTCAAAGCCTTAGGACAGTGATTACTCACTTCCTACCCCAGTGTCCCCAACTGTAAAATGGGACCAGCAATACCTTCCAAAAGGAACAGTCACCCAGGACAGATGTGGCTCCTGTTAGGCCTGATACAATCAGGAAGGTAAGTAGAAAGGGCCTGAGTGTAGGGTGAGGAGAGAGCATCCGACAGATGGGGGCCGTCCCCTTCTTCCTTGGTTGGCCCTCTTGGTCCACGTGAATCCTCACACTAGGGGGAAGTGAGGGTTTCCTGTCCTATTTCTGCTGTGATCTTGGGAACGCCATTGAATTTTCATGCCTCGGTTTCTTAAGCAAATTTGAAAGTTAATAGATATTTTGGATGGGCAATAAAACGACTCCTTTTCATTTGTTCACAGAGATGCTGCAGTTTGTCAGCAATCAAGTGGGAGAGTTTCCTGACTTGTTCTCAGAGCCTCTGTGTAGCTCATTCCCTGGCGGCGGCGGCGGCAGCGGCGGCGGCGGCAGCAGTAGTAATGGCGGGGGCAGCAGTGGTGGAGCTGGGGACCCCTCGCTGCAGCGGCCCTTCGGCCAGGTCCCATTACCTTCCTTCTCTGCCTCGGGCGCCTCCTCCCAGGCTCCAGCCCTGCAGGTCAAGGTTTCCCCCACCACAGTTCTCACCCCGCCCAGGGTGACTCCGGTCCTTCAGCCCCGCCCCCAGCCCCAGCCCCAGCCCCAGGCTCAGCTGCAGCAGCAGACCGTAATGATCACCCCAACATTCAGCACCGCTCCCCAGACAAGGATCATCCAGCAGCCTTTGATATACCAGAATGCAGCTACCAGCTTTCAAGGTGATTCAAAAGTCAGATATGATAGTGATGGGTTGGTTCAAAAGTTTATGTGCCAATTGGCCGATACTTCCAAAGTCGACTGCAAATAGTTTTCCTCTAGGGATGACAGAATCTATCATTTTGGTCCTATCTGAATGAGTCTTTGGTAACTTGCACTAAGGACAGTGATGCAGGAACAGTTCACATTCTGCCTCTTCCAGTACCTTAATATCTGTTGTTCCTGCTTCGAGGATACTTGGTTGAAAAATCCAACAGGCAGAGTAGACACAGGGCTGTCCCGGAACTAGAAGTGGTGGCTTGAGTAAAATTAGTCTTGAAACTTACCCCCAGGCAACAGCCAGATCGCGGCTGCTGCAGGCTGAGAACCATTCACTCAGCAAACATCTCATGAGCATCTGCCATGGAGAAGAATACAACTTTTAACACAGGTGCTAGGTCTCTGAGGAACAGGCCTCATAGTAGGCCCTCCCTGTATGTTGAGTTGATGAGTGATCGGCTGTGCCTTTTGTGCCTTTTCATCAGATTTCCCTCTGGCCCTGTGGGGAGCCCTGGCTGGGATTAGCTTCACTCTGACAGCTCTTCATTGGGCTTGGAGGATTTAGAGGCTGGGGGGAGAGACATCAGGGCAGAAAGCTGAGACAGTATACTTTCCATTTGTTTCACGGGAGGAAATGAAGCCCCAGGGCCTCCTTAGTTCTCAACACCCGTTAACTCATTAACTCCCTTGCAGAGCGCAGTCACTTGCTGAGTAGCTTCCTTCACCTCCACCCCAGCACCCAGAGTAATAAAATAATTTGTACTTACTCCCTCAGAAATTGATGCAGCCCCTCTGAGTTGTTGTTATCTAGACCAACTTGTAGTCTCTCCGCTACCTGCCTTTGCCTTGGGAATTTAAGAATCTCCAGGCCTAGGCTGAGTGAATGCCAGAGAGTCTTCAGCAGCAGGTGGGGAGTCGGGATTATTGTGGGGCACGCCATCTTCAGCTGTTGTCGCAGCTACAGTGACAGAATACATTCCTCGTCCATGTGACTTTTTTCTCCTCTTCTCTCAAGTCCTTCAGCCTCAAGTCCAAAGCCTAGTGACATCCTCCCAGGTGCAGCCGGTCACCATCCAGCAACAGGTGCAGACAGTGCAGGCCCAGCGGGTGCTGACGCAGACAGCCAGTGGCACACTGCAGACCCTCGCCCCAGCCACAGTGCAGACAGTGGCTGCGCCCCAGGTGCAGCAGGTCCCGGTAGGTGGCTGAAAAGGATTCAGAGAGGCACTGCTTGGGGTTCTTGGCTGGTCTTTGGCTGAAGATGTAGTCTGCATGCTAAGAAGGACCATCGGAGTGTAAGGGAGCAGCTCGTAGGGTGGGTACTGGCGCCTGGTCCCTGTAAGGCACCATTGAGCTGGGTACAGAGACCTCGCTGAGGTCGTATCTGAGGATTACACTGGCACTCACAGAGACTCAGTAAATGCAGGTGTTTTAACCCATTTCCACAGATGATGAGTATAAAACTGGAAAGAAATGTGCCAAAATGTTTTTAAGTCATGTATCACAGTGAAGTGTATTTTCATACTAATGAAGTAATTGTCTATTTTTAAAAAATCTTGGTTTATTATTTTTGCTTCTCGGCTAGGTTCCTGCATTTCCTGAACTTGTCCAAAATCAGACCTCTCTCCCTGCCACCATCCACCCCAAGCCGTGCCTGCTCTTCCCCCGCTAGACCTCTAGCACTGCCCTCCTCAAAGTCTTTCAGCCTTAAAATTCAGGGGGACCGCCTTTAGCTAGCTATATTCCTTTTCTTCCCCTCAACCCGGTAATCAAGTTGTTTTCTCAATTTCATGAAAATTTTATTTTCTCTTTCTTTCCCAGAGGGTCTATGCAGTAGGACGCTAATGCAAAATAGAGAAATAATTCCTTTTTTCTTCTTCCTTCTCCACCCAGGTCCTGGTACAGCCTCAGATCATCAAGACAGATTCCCTTGTTTTGACCACACTGAAGACAGATGGTAGCCCTGTCATGGCCGCAGTCCAGAACCCGGCCCTCACTGCCCTCACCACCCCCATCCAGACAGCCGCCCTTCAAGTACCAGTAAGAGCCACCTTCCCCTCTGCCTTCTGCTCCCTTTCTAGGAGGTGTTAGGCCTCAGAGGTCTTAGCAAAACCTGGGTATGCTGAGTAGGTGCAGAAGCTTTGTGGAAGGTGTCAGTCAAATTGTAAATATCACCCGCTTAGATTTCTCCCCTTGAGAAGTCCCACCAGTGCGTGTTATGTGGTAGTGCTAGGGTCTAGAGCGGGAGAGGAACAGCAAGGCGCCCCAGTGCCTGGGCCGCAGCTCCACACGGGACTGGCTGCACTTTGCATCCTGCTGATGGAAGGTTGGCTTCTGAAGGACCCTCAACCCACCAGGCAGGGAGGGGCTCCAAGGTGAGGGACATGGGAGGCACCCACCTTCAGTTGTAGGGTTTCAGTCAGTTTTAGTATCTTCTGGCAAGAGAGTCTAGCAGAGTTAAAGGTGATCAAAATTCAAAAGCAAGCTTTATTCATAAAAGCCAAGAACTGGAAACAACCCACATGTCCACCCAGAAAGATAACATACAAATACGTGACTGAACCTCAAAAATTATGTTGAGG